AAACCTCAGGTGGCACGCTCTTCTTGTTCACTTTCTCGAACTTCTTCAGCATCTCCACGGCCTTGTCCACTCGGCCGTTCGTTATGTACCATCTGTCATGATTCATTTACACATTTGTTATTATTATTATTATTATTATTATTATTATTATTATCATCATTACTATTAAATGGGTGTCCAAAGTGACTATTTTGCGAATACTGGGATATAATCCAACTGTATTGTTTAAACAATTGTTATTGGTAAATATAGAGTGTTAAATTAGCATTTATTGTCACGTTGGCGTAAAAAATGGCCAATTCACGACGTACCTGGCACTCTCGGGGACGATCCAGGGGGTGACGAAGGCCACGACGAGCGGCAGCGCGCTCAGTACGCTCAGCATCTTCCAGTCCCTGACCCAGTAGGCGATCCAGGGCAGTATGCCGGACGCGATGGCGAAGTAGATGCCAAAGGACATGTTTGCCATTAGCGTTCGGTACTTTGGCCCCACGTATTCGATCACTGGATCGCGCGATCGAGCGGACGTAGGGGAGTCGGGGGGGAAAACACACACAAAAAATAAAAATGCGGCAAAGGGACATTTAAAATAAATTGAAAGACAAATAATAAGGTGACAATGACAAATCATATGTGAGGGTAACAATGGGGGTGATCGAGAGTCGATTGAGCTGGAAATTTTGTTAGATCGTTGATTGAGCTGTTAGAGGTTTCGTCGGGGAAATCGGCTAATATCAGTACATATGTATATACCGATGATGAAGATGATGTTGAAGCAATTGTCGAAGGAAGTGCCCACGACAAATCGGGCCAGTGCAAAGGACCAGAATTCCGTGCACAAGGCGGTGGCGATCGAGGCAAAGAAACCGACGCTGTTGCAGGCGACCAGAGCTGGTAATCTGCCGTAGTGGTCGGCTATGTAGCCGAATATCAGACCGCCGATTATACTGCCCGCGAAAAAGGCCGATTGAGCTGCTGAGCCGAGGAACGCTTTTCCGCACACCCATTCTTCCTGTAGAAAGTTTTTTTTTAATTTTCATTTAATTATTTATTTTATTTCATTTTGTTTTTTCAAAGTAAATGAGCACTTGGAAGTATTCACGGTACGTGCAATAGTAGTTGGAATAAGCTCGCGATCGTTTGTTCGATGTACATCTCGTGTGAAAATCGTTTGTAGAAAAAAGAGATTCTTCCGGGGTGCCTCGTTAATTTCTTCATTGCCTCCGTTCAAGATGAAATCTCAATTCTATTTTATGATCAGCGTTAAAAACAAAAAAAAAAACTTTTAATTGAAAATTGAAAAAATCCAACGATATATCTGCGCGGGAAGCTCACAGACAACAATATTAAAAAATTCATAACGAGGTGAATTGCCGAGAGATCGGTATCGAGCTTAAGCGCGTGTAAAACCACAGTCCAGTGTACGTGCACCCGATCTACTTAACATCTCACGACCGGATCGGCTAACCACTATACGCTTACCCCGAAACGTCTCAATGGACGTAATTATTACTTAATTATTCGGAGCGCGTGGGAGCTAGTATTATTGGAGCTTGTAAAGAGAGAGAGAGAGAGAGGAAAAAAAGATTGATTTTAATTCCGTGTTTATTGCAGAAAGATCGTTGTTCAAGCTCGAATAATTATGAAAACTGGTTGAGGATCGATGAAATGGTAATTTCGTGATAATTGTATTTTTTATTTTTTTCGTGTACTGTAGAGGTATACAAGTGTAATAAATATAAAAAAGATGAAAGCACAAACCTCAGCAGCGATGGACATGTAGGGCACGTTGCTCATGTTGAAGTTGTAGCCGTATTTACACGTGCTGACCGGCCACTGGGGGTTGGCGTGGGTCATGTTTTTCAACAACACTTCCGTGTAATTAGTAACGTACATGTTACATCTTGAGAATGAGAAATTGGATTCAGAGTTTTTTTCTGTAGAATCCGGCGGTGGTATCGATAACATGATCCTGTGGACGTATCATTCAATTATACATTTGTGCTAAGGTTTTTTTTTTATTGTGCTGCAAAATTCTTCAATTAAAAAAAAAGTTTTTGAAACAGAGAAAGAACCCACTCCACTCAATAATTCATCTCAATTTAATTAATCATTCCAAAACTCCATCTTGAATGATTTTTTTTTTTTTTTTTTT